GCCTGGACAACAAAGCAAGACTCTGTCTCAAAAAAAAAAAAAAGAAAAGAAAAGAAAAGAAATGCACAGAGGGACTGAGGCAGGAGTAGAGAGGGAGAAGGTGTGGCCCCAAGGCCTAGAGTTTTATGGCTTCTGCTCGAGTCAAAGCCAGAAGCCGGGCTCGGTGTCTCTAACGCTCAGACGCAGTTCCAGGCTGCAAGATGCATGAAGCAGCTGAGCCCGGGAAGCCAGGACTCAGTTGCCCAGGGCAGATCTGCTCAAAGGAAGCCCATCTCGGGCAGGGAAGCAAGTGGCCATCCCTGGGCCCAGGGACTGTCCTTCACACAGATTGTAAAGTTTCCTGTTTGTACCGCGTTGATGTAGAAGCCAGCTCACCCTCCCTGTATGGGCTTTATTTTTTTTTAATACCACCTGCTTAATTTTCTCTATTGGAACCTGGGAACAGAGACCAAGTCCATAAGGGGAGAGGCTCGTTATTCTCTTATTGATCTGAGACTTAACAGAGCAGCAGCTATGTATGATTTGAACTGGAGCACGTTATCTTTCTGTGGCCCTAGCCTCTTAGGAGTGCGCCATGCCCGCTGACAGCCAGAGACGCTGCGGGCGTGTAAAGGTGACCGAGAGATGGCAGGGCCTGACCTCGGCTGCCACCAGTGGCAGCTGGGAGCCTAAAAACAGGGCTGTGACGGGGCAGCCCTCCCTGCCCCCTTCTCTGCCCGGGGTGGAATGGGGTGTTTTTCTCTCCACCTGGTCAGCCACACGATTTCGGTGCACTCTCTCCTACCACCTTTCCCTGCCCCCAACAGCACAGATATTTAATCAATCAGACGACACGTACCGAGGGCTTATGCACGCTCCGCCTTCCAAAGCCCGCTTCACTGCCACTCCTGTCGCACGGCAAGCTGCCCCCCAGCCTTGGCAGGGTGACGCCTTTGCGAGCATTTAGTGCATCGCTGGCTCTGCCGTGGGGCCTGGCCCTGCCCTGTGCATCTGTGTCCTGCCAACACAGGGCTGTGCTCGCGTGGGCGCTCAGCCGGTGACAGCTGCGTGGATCAGGACATCACAGGGCAGGTGAGAGCCAGGTGGGGCGGGGTGGAGGCAAAAGATGGACTGGGGCGCATCAGTCTGATCAGGTGGAAGCGGGCGTTGTGGAGGGGCATTGGGAGCAGGCAGTTGGGGCAGACCCAGAGTCCTGAGTGCCAAGAGACAGAGGGTGGGGTCCTCTGGCCTGGCACCATCCAGCAGAACTTCCGGCGATGACAAAAATGTTCTATCTTTGTGCTGTCCCATGCAGTAGCCACCAGGCACGTGTGGCAGTGGAGAGCCTGGAATGTGCTCAGTGTGGCTGAGGAACTGAGGATTTCATTTTATTTAATTGTAATTAATTTCAATTTAAATAGCTGCCTGTGGCTGGTGGTTGCTGTGTTCAACAGTTTATTTGAGAACAGGGTGGGGGGGTGTCACTGATAGTAACAGTGAGTGGCATTTATTGAGTGCATGTTGTGTGCACTGGTTGCTTTTATGTGTATCTCAGTGAATCCTCAAAACAACCCTGGGGGACAAATTCTATTATCCCATTTTACAGATGAGAACATCTGAAGCTTAGAGAGGCTTTGAGCAGCTTCCCCAAGGCCCCACCGAGGCCTGCTGCAGCCAAAGCCTGTGTCCTGGCACCATGCCGCCCCACTGCTGGGGAGATGCACCCATATCTAGGGGGTCCCATCCTGGGGAGGGGGTGCTGCTAAGCACTGAATGTTGGTATCCCCCCAAATCCCTGTGTTGAAGCCCTCACCCCAGTGTGATGATCTTGGAGGTGGGGCCTTTGGGAGGTAATTAGGGTTAGATGAGTTCGTGTGGGTGGAGCCCCCATGATGGGTTTGGTGCCCTCATAAGAAGAGGAGGAGACCAGAGCCCTCTCTGTCCGCCACGTGAAGACACAGCAAGAAGGCTGCCATCCGTGGACCAGGAAGAGGGTTTTCACCAGGACCTGGCCATGCTGGCACTTGAGCTGGGACTTCAGGCCCCCAGGACTGTGAGAAATAAACACCTGTTGTTTGAGCCGCTCAGTCTACGGTATTTTGTCATGGCAGCCCGAGAGCTGATTAAGACAGGGGCAGAGACTGCCCTGTGTCCCCTCCCCCTTGGCTGCACATGTAAGGGATGACAGCCACCCGAGAGGCCAGGTTGTGGGGTGTCAGTGGGGAGGCCCCTGGGCCTGGGCTTCCTGCCTATAGCTGGAAACTTCTGTCCCCACTCCCGAGAGACGGCACGGAGGGCAGAGACAGAATCCTCAGCCCGGGTGATTGCTTCTAGAACCAGAGTCAGGCGAGCATGTGCCGGCTGCACCCACAGTCCCAGCAAAGCCTCGTCTTAGGGTCACCCCATGTTACCTCCTCTGTCTGTTCATCTGGGAGCCATCAGCCACATCTGCAGGGACCCGCCTGGGTGGAACCAGCTTCGTAGTCGTGGGACCAGCCTGACACCTGGGCAGGGGAGGGCATGATCGGCTCTCCTGAGATCTGGAAAAAGATCCTGCTCTGCGGCTGCTGCGTGACCCTGGGCAGCCTGCAGCATCTCTGAGCTTCCGCCTCTTCCTCTGCACGGCAGGCACCGCGAAACCCACCTCCTTCCTATGTTGCTGCCGGGGCTGAGCGCCTGGCGCACGTAACTGCTCGGTACATGGTCGCCACTGGTGTTTCAGTCCCTCCTTGTTCCCGGCACCGTCGTCTCTGTCAACAGCCCTGGGAGGGACGGAGCACTCTGTGTGCTTGTGAGCGTGTAAAGAGTGCGGGAGGAAAAGCTCTCCGGGAGCCCACACGTGTCCGCACGTGCCGTACACAGATGGGAGGGTGGGAATTAGCAAGGCGAGCGGAGCCGGCTGGCTTCAGTGCCGCCTTCCTTTCCCCGTTCCCAGCGAGGCGAGCCCCTGGGTAGCCCTCTACCTGGGTAGCCCCTGTCCTAGAGGTAGAAGGATTGGGGTGGAGCGTGGGAAGGGCGGAGAGAGGCAGCTCTTGTGCAGACGGGGAGAGACCCCCGACTGTTGTCAGGAACGGTGGCTCAGGCATCCAGGGAGGTGGGCTGCTGGTCCCTGGAGGGGCTCAGCCCAGCCTGGCAAAGATCCAAACCCAAGGTTGGCGCAGAAGTGGCCAAGTCCCCTGCCCCCTTTTCAAAGGACCATGAGAGCTTGGAGCCTAGCAGTGAACAGAGTGGACAGCACCCAGGGGACCCTCCGCAGTAGTCCAGGACCACCAAAGACCCCAAACCTGGGACCTGCAGAAGAGCTGGGGAGGGGCTCTGTCATGGCTGGGACCTGGGGCGGAATTTACTGCCGGCCTAGAGGGGCGGGAGCTTGGAGCGGGTTACATTTCATTTGGAGAAATAAAAGAAAGTGACGTTTCTCATACCTGAGCGTTGGGTGGTAGCACATCCATCTCCTCCCCCCACCTGCCCCCGGCCCGATGTAGCATTCATAGCTTCCTTTCCCGGCTTGCTGGCTCCCTCCCCTCCTGCAGCACTGAGCTCAGCCACCCAATCAGGCCAGTGACGACATGCTTTGAGAAGCCAAGTCGGTGACATTTCCCTCTCCGTAGAGAGGTGTGCTCCTTGCTCAGTTGGCAGCCTGCAGAAAAGGCCAAGCAACGGATCCAGCCTTCCCTCGGTGGGGGACTGGAGAGAGCCCCCACCCTCATGGGGACCGGGTGGCTTCCACGTGGCAGAAAGATGGATTAGCTGGAGCAACAGACCTCTGAGGAGGAGTCGCCAGCGACCGCTGAATCATGCTCTGCCTGAGTTAGCCCGGCGGAGCCAGCCTCAGCCCCAACAAATCCACCTCTGCCGCCCAGCGTGTTTCTCCCGGCCTTTCCCACCTCTGCCTGTTGCTATGCGTTTAGGGGAAGCAAAATAAGTAGTCATGCATCACATAGGGACGTTTTGGCCGACAGCAGACTGCATATGTGGCGCTAGTTCCATAAGATTATACTGTGTGTTTACTGTACCTTTTCTATGTTTAGATACACAAACATTTACCATTGTGTCGCAGCTGCCTACAGTATTCAGCACAGTGTCGCTACAGCTCTGTAGCCCGGCAGCAATGGGCTATACCAGCCAGTCTAGGTGTGCAGCAGGCCGTGCCATCCGGTCTGCGTGACACTCTGTGACATGCACACGATGACGAAATCACCTAACGACGTGATTGTCAGAACGTATCCCCATTGATAAGCGACACGTGACCGACTGTATTTAGACGTTGAACAGCTCTGTAGAAGGAAAAACACTGTCGAATCTAGGTTCTGACTATTTCTGTGTTCAGAGGAAATGATAAAAACGGCTCTAGAGTCGGACCTGAATCCAGCATGTACTTGGTGTGTGAACTTGGGCAAATTCTCAAGCTCCGCCAAGCCCCGGGGTCCTCCCCCGTGACTCAGGCCTAAAGCTCCCTGTACTAGGATCGTTGGGGTGGGGGGGCTTGGCAAAAAGTAGGTGCTCAGGTAGTCACTGTTGTTTCTCACTATGGAGTCTTCTATAACCTGTCAGGCACATGGGTGAGTTTTTTTGTGTGATCATATACAGGTGTATGTTTTCTCTGTTGAATAGCATTATTTCCTGCCCACACACCCAGGTAGCGCCACTACCTGCTGCGTAAAGGCCATACCATGTTCTGTTGTCGCGTTTGCCTGGATCATCCCCGGAGTTGGGCGTCTGGGTGGTTTCGGTTCTTTGCTATTAGAAATGATGCAGCGGTGAGTATGGCGAGCGCGTTGATTAGCCGTGGAGGGACCCGTTATCGCAGAGATCCGTGGTTGGGGCTCAGCCATGGTGCCCAAAACCAGCCAAGGATGTTCAGGCCACTCTGTGTCTTCTGGGTGATCTGCGGCTTCCAGCCTGAAGCAAGAGCCATCCCCTTGGAAGATACCAAAGTGTCGCTTGGTGAGAGTCGTCCCAGCCCCTTAGCTGAGAGGCAGTGGTTGAAATATTCATGACCCATGTCCTCTGTCTTGCAGAAAGTCTGCACCAAGTGTGGGATCGAGGCCTGCCCTGGCCAGAAGCGGCCCCTGTGGCTGTGTAAGATCTGCAGCGAGCAGAGAGAGGTAGGGTGTCTGGGGCAGTGGGGTGGGGTGGGCCGGGTGGGGGCTGAGTGGTGGGGCGGTGGGCGCGGGGTGGCGGGTGGAGGGCTGGGGTGGTGGGGCGTGGCGCGGGTGGCGGGTGGGGCGGGTGGTGGGCGGTGGGCGCGGGGCTGGGGTGGTGGGGCGGTGGGGCAGGGTGGGCTGGGTGGCAGCCACTCACTGGCATACGGGGAATGGGATGGTCAGCCGCTGGGAGGGGCTTCACCGGGGGTCACGAAGGGACTGCCCAGGGGGTCCAGGGGAGGCGCGTGGGGCAGGACAACCTGCTGGCTGGCCCATCTCCCGGGTGCAGAGGTGGCAGTGGGCCCTGGCTCTGTTCCTGGGGGGCCTGTGGTTTCGGTGGGCAGCCCCGAGCACGGTGAGCGTGTGTGCACGTGGCATCTGGTGGGCAATTACGATAGTGGTAGTCGCAGCTACCCCAGGCTGAACGTCTGCTGTGTGCCTGGCGCTGTGCTAAGTCCCTTCCGACTTAGCAGTCCTCAGCCCTTTTGGCACCAGGGACCAGTTTCGTGGAAGGCAGCTTTTCCGCGGGGATGGGATGGTTTCGGATGGTTCAGGTGCATTCCATCTATTACACTTGGAGCCGCTCCCCGGCGCTCATCCGACAGGAGGCAGAGCTCAGGCGGTGATGCGAGTCATTCATGGAAGACAGTTTTTCGGGGGGTTGGGGGGGAGGTGCGTGGGGGAGGGGAGAGGGCGGCGGAGCTCTGCAGCCTGGTCCCTAACAGTGCCAGGTTAGGTTGGGGACCACAGCCGTACCTGTGTTAATCCACTCCATCCTTGCACAGCCACGTAGTTGGGTGCTATTCTTGGCCCCTTTTCCTGGTGGGGAGACAGAGACACACGAGGTTGGGTGACTTGCGAGCACCGGGCCAGTTAGTGGGGGCGCTGGAGGTCCAGGGCCGCCGTGGTCTGCCGGGAGGGTGCCACTCCCAGCGTCCCTTCTGGTGCTGAGGTTCCGCGGTTCTAGTCCCAGCCCCATTTTAGGGGAGGAAGTCAAGACTCAGCAAAGGCTCTGAGGCAGTAGCAGCTGGCAGTGGGGGGTGCCTAGAACCACATCTCCTGACCCCCAGCGCCCCCCTGGCTTTCCCCACGGCACCAGGTCGGAGCGGAGCTGAAACGCCGCAGGCTGCTGCTGGGAAGGGCCAGGCGGGCAGGGCCGGGCAGAATGGGCCCCTGGTTTCCCAGATTCCAGTCGGTTTGTTTGTTTCTTAATCTTGCTTGGCCCTGGGTATGTGCTTTTAATCTGAGGATCCATAAAACCCATTCAGTTCTAGAAAGTTCTCAGTCATAATATCGTTGAATGTTGCCGCCCTGCCATTCTCTCTCTCCTCTCTGGAAATCCCGCTGGATACGTTTTGGAGCCTCTCGACAGCCCTCCACAGCTCCCAACTGCCCTTTCCTGTTTCTTTGTCTTTCTGCAGCACTCTCTGGGTGAATTCTTCAGTTCTGCTTCCCAAGTCCCCCAGTCTCTCTTCGGGACCGTGCCCCACCTGTTGGTTTTGTAGGTTGTCTCGGGGCTAGTTTTCTCTGGCGTTTTTAGAATTGCAGTTTGTGAGCTCATCTAGGATGGGATTCCGTGTCTCTCTCTTTCCCACCCTGTTCGCCTAGCCTAGTGGTTTTGCGGCTGCCTCCACCTAGGTCCTGGGTCCCCTGGGCTCGTGGTGAGCTGGTTGTCCACAGTGACAGTGGGGTTATTCCCAGAGCCATGCATTTCAGCCCGGGCAGCCTGGCCCAGGCCCTGCTGTGTGCACCACTGCCGGCTTCCTCTCCTCTGAGCTCGCTTTCTTCACTTCCCTCGAGTCTCGGTTTTCAGGCTCCTTTCCCAGGTGGGACACCCACTCACCAGCCCCATTTCAGTGACTCTGCTCTGGTCCCCCACCTCCCAAGGGACATTTTTTAGTCCCTGTGCCCTTGAGGACCAGTCTCCCAGCTGCAGCCAACTGCTTCTGGACCCAGAGCTCAGCAGACTGTGTCTTTAGCCCCTCAAAATAGTAAATACTGTGAGTTTCTGATCCACTGAGATATAGATCTTGTTTTGGAGCACAGACAAGTTTGCTTGTTGCTTCTAAACTATTTTCATCTATTATTGCTGTGTCTTTGGAACCAGGAAGGCAGCAGGCAGGGCCTCACAGTGTAAACTAGTGTGCTGTCTTACCTGCAAGTCCCTGATCCCTCATCCCGAGATGGAGATGATAATACCTACTTCATGGAGTCCCTGTGAGAATTCAGCAAGAGTGTTCAAGTGTACCAGATGTCTGGCATAGAGTAGATGCTACATAAATATTAATAGTAGAGGTGTCCCTTCCTCCCCAGCCAGGAGGTTCCCCCTTTGAACTTGAAGTCCTTCCAGTCTTCGGGGGATCCCTGTTAGGACGCAGATAACAGCAGGGCACAGTGGCTCACGCTTGTAATGCTAGCACTTTGGGAGGCTGAGGCCAGGAGGATCGCTAGAGGCCAGGAGTTTGAGGCCAGCCTGGCTAACATTGTAAGATACCGTCTCTTCAAAAATTTTTTTAAAAATTAGCTGAGTGTGGTGGCGCCCACTTGTAATCCCAGCTACTCAGGAGGCTGAGGCAGGAGGATCCCTGGAGCCAGGAGTTCGAGGCTGCAGTGAGCTATGTTGATGTTCCTGTACCCCAGCCTGGGCAACAGAGTGAGACTCTGTCTCAAAAAAATAAATAAATAAATAAAGAAGATGCAGATATGTAGGAGAGAGGAAATTTCTTAAAACATTATCTGCTGGGGAGACACAGCACAGGGAAATGGGGGTTGCAGCTACGCTGTAGGAAGGTAGAGATGAAGAAAAAAGCTGTCAAGGAAAAGAAGGTGGTTGGAAGGAAAGACGAATTTAGCAGACTTGCTGATTTAGCAGAGGGCAGCTGAGGCCGCTGCCCCGTCCGGCCTCACCACGAGTCACCCTCACACTCCTCAGCAGTCCTGAGCTGCCACACGCAGGGAGGGACGCCCACCAGCCCGCCCTAATCTCCAGCGCTCTCCAGTCCCCAGAAAAGTCCGAAATTGCTGAGATGAGTTTTCTTATCTTTCCTAAAGCAAAGAATATGAGGCTGTGCATTATGCTATCACTTTGTCCTTGAATTTTTTAGAGGCTGCTGAAACCTTGCAAGATCGAGAATGGCCCTTCTCTGCAGCACCCGGCACCTGGTGGGCATTTGACGGGCCCAGGTGGGGCCGTGAACACGCACGTGGCGTGTGGACTGGGTGACCTGTGGGTACCAGACCATGGGCTGGATTTCCCCGTCTGCTTTGGGGTAGGAGAAGGCCAGGGCAATTGGTTTCCTAATGCCTTTTTTTTTCCTTAGAAAACTATCTAATCATAATGAGGAGAGCTAGATAGGAAGGGCATTTAAAATGTCAGATTTTAAGCCGGTGCCCAGTCTGTGATAAAAATTTGGATTCCCGTCCCGCAGCCAAAGCCTAATGCAAAAACTTGGATTTTCTGATGGGAACTCTGGTCCCGCTCTGCCCAGGAGCTCTTATCTTCCTCTCCTTTTGGTGCTTCACTTTCGTTGATCGTCTCTGGCTGTAATTGTAAGTATCTTTTCTGGAATGAGCCAAACGCTGCTTCAACGTTCCTGGGGCCGTCAGGTTGGCGTTGCGGTGTGTTTTATGCACTTTCGCCGTGCAGCAGTGTGAGCCCGAGCCCCTCTGCCCTCGAGGAGCTTGCGGCCTGACCAGTTTGTTCATTTGGGCATTCGACATGTGCTGATGGGGAGCACTTTCTCTGTGCCAGGCATTAAATCAGCTCTTCCAGTGGGAGAGGGAGAAAGAGACACAGTAAATTCTGCCATGTCACAGAAGCCGTGCTGGGAACAGTGCTTGCTACTTTATATGGGGGTCAGGGAGGGGCTCACTGATAAAACGACCTTGGAGCAGAGATCTGAAGTACACCATGTGGCTATGCGGAGGGAAAGCTTTCCAAGTAGGGGCACAGCAAGTGCAAAGGCCCTGAGGCCGGCGTGTGCTGGGTGGATTCAAGGCACAGCTTGGAGACCAGTCTGACTGGAGTTGGTGTTGGGAAGAGGAGGTCAGAGATGTGGTGGGAGGGCAGACTGTGTTGTCCCTTGGACTTTGGCTTTTATTCTCAGTGAAATGTGGGAGCCTTTGGAGGGTCTTGAGTAGAGCAGAGACATGATCTGACCTCCCACCCTTTTAAAGGATGCTCTCTGCTGTGTTACAAATATATTGTAGACTACACTACCAGAGCCAGTAGCATAGTGTTTTATTTTCCTCATTTAGTATTGCCCAGCTAAGTCCTTATCTGTTGTTACCGTTAGAAGTTTTCATTTTTCAGCTTAGCGTGGTAGCTCATGCCTATAGTCCCAGCACTGTGGGAGCCTGAGACAGGAGATTAACTTGAGGCCAGAAGTTCAAGACCAGCCTGGGCAACACAGCGAGACCTTGTCTCTACCAAAGAAAGAAAGAAAGAGTTTTCATTTTAAAAAATATTATATACATTGTACTCCTTTCTGGTTATAAAATTAATATGGATCATTGAGGAACATTTACAATGTTTAGAAAAGCATAAAGAATACATACCTCCCAAAAAAATCCAGAATCTTACTACCCAGGGACAACCACTGTTAACATTTTGGCATATATACTTCCATTATTTTTTCTGTGTCCTTTTTTTTTTAATATTTTTGAAATTGTTTTAAAATTAACATTATATCATAAGAGTTTCCCAATGTAGTCAAGAATACTTTGTGAACATTCTCAGTGATAGATCATCTGTCGTATGGATATTCTAATTTAGGATATCTAAATTGTTTCCATTATTTTCTCTTATTAATAACTGTGTACATAGTTCTTTGTCTACATTTTAGATTACATCCTTAAGATAGATTCCCAGAAGAAAAAAAAATAAACATCAGTGTTTATTTTCTTATAGACCCTTGAGTTACTATTTTTACTTATCTCATAATTAGCTGATGTATAATTTT